CGGGAGGTCGGCCAGGCCAGATCGCTCAGCTTCAGCATGTCAGGAGGAAGCATCATTTATACTTCTGTTGGGCACTGGTCTCAACCAGTGGAAAGCCTGTGTTTCCATCTGCTTTTTGAGAGCTTTGGTCAGGGTAATCGTGTGTAAAGTAGATGGTGGGAGTGAGAAGGAAGCAGGGAGACAGTGAGGAGGCAGCCAGGGTGGTCCAGGTGGGGAGTCAAAGAGACCCCCATGTGGCAACGGTCCGATGGAAAGGTCGAGATGATTGCACAAAGTATTGGGAGGGGACGTGGCTGTAGAACTTCGAGGTGGATGTATGTGGAGGATGGGGCAGAGGAGGACCCAAGGACAAATGAAAGGTTCCTGAACTGGATGGCAACATAGCCTAGGCACTGTTAGGCAAATAAGAAAGTTACTGAGAGCTGGTTTGGGTGGGGAGGGGGCAAAACGGTAGCTTTGTACAGGTGGATGGGGGATCCAGGAGCTGTTGGGAATGCAGAATCAAGCCCAAGCATGGAGATTTGAGAGTCATTCATAATCGTCATTGTCATCATCAGATAGCTACCACTTACTGATCACCTGTGTGCCATGTGCTCTGTGAAACAACGTAAGCCTCACCCAAGCGGCAGAGTCAGCAGGATTAGCCTTATCTAACAGAGAAGAAAACTGGGAGACAGAGACGTTAAGAAACTTGTCCAAAGTCAACCAGCAGGGAAGAGGCAGATCTGGGCATGGGTATGTCCTCTATGGCTTGCTCATCAACCCATCAAAGTAGAGTGAAGTTATGACCATGTGGACGAGGTTCTCAGGCAAGAGGCGTGAAGATATCCACCTGCAGAACATCTTTCGAGTTGCCACAAAGGCTCTGCCAGAGATAGTTTCCCTCTTAATTACTTGTTAATTATCAACTACCAGGGGCTTCTCTAATGACTTCCAACACAGAAATCATGGAAAATGTCCAGAAGTGCATAGAAAAATAATTAAAATGTGTCCGGAGGATAGGAGATGGCACATACATGACATAGGCAGCATGTTTCAGGATTCGGTGGTCGAAATGTCTGATTAGAGAGCTCTAAGGAGACAGCAGAGCTGTGGACAGCGTCTCAGGGTGATAAAAATATCAAGAGCTGCAGAAAAGAGGGAGGAGGGAGGTTGAGGATGGGCCATCAGATTTCGTGATTAAAGATCATTTTAGAAGACTGACAGGGAGGAGGCAGACTGCAAGGAGCCAGGGCACACGGGGTTGGATTGGCAATTTGGCATCTGCTCATGGAGTGTGGCGGAGGGTGTAGACTCGAGAGGTTCAGTGGAAAAAAAAGAGATTGGGCCTGTGCCCCAGAGCAGGGGAGCCGCACAGAGTTGTGTGTCAGCCTGAGGAGATCCGGGAGAGTCTGTAGGCAGGTGGAAAGGGGCCAATGGAAGGGTGGGGTTGGAAATAAGTAAAAAAGAGACTACAGGATGAAGTAAACTTACAAAGGAGGCAAGAGAGGATGAGATCATCAGCTCCGGGAGAGGAAAGTTACAGGCCACATTAGAAGGTTTTTGAGAATCACAAAGACAGCTTTGGAATGAATTCTTTAATTTATTCAATCAATATTGATGGAAGACCTACGATGTGCTGGGCCCTCTCCAAATACTGGGGATAAAGCAGTGGACATGGCGGGCAAAGTCTCTGCGTTCATGGGGCTGACAGTGTAGCGGAGGACTTGTAGGAACAGATTCAGGAATTTAGAGTCAGATTTTCCTCTCTGCGTTGGTGAAGCATGGGCAGTGGCTGGAAGAAGTCTGCTCGGGTTATCTCAGCCAGCCTTCTGCCTGCCGGCAGGATGATATCATGCAAGGAGGATGGACCGCTTCACTGTTTTGGAAACATTCCAGGCAGTGGGATTTCATCCTTTCCCTCTATTGTCAATAGCATCTCACAGCCTGAAAAGAATGCTCTGGGGTGTGGGGTTTCCCTACAAGTAGGAACAGACCAGTAGAAAAGAGATGTGGGTTCCTGTCTGCTGTCAGTTGCTCTTGGTGCTTGGGGAGGGGGTAAGAGGGAGAAAGAAACTGAGAGAGAAGGAAGCAGGTAAGTGGTCAGTTCCCCTCACTCTGTACCTGCCCTGGGAGGGCTTTCCTGCCTAAGCCAGGGCCGATCTACATTCCAGGCCTCAGAACCGGCCAGAGTCCCTCAGGGAGCACGGCTAAGCTACAGTACTCTCCCTTCTGGCACGGTTTCTGCAAAAGCAGGCATGGAATGTCTGGAAGGCAGGTGTGTCTCTGGAGCTCCTGGGTACATGAGGTCACACTTAGCTCAAGACCCAGTAGACAACTGTCTAATCGGTATGGTGGCAAAATTCTAAGAGGGCTCAGGGACTCCTGTCCCCTTATGTATACATCCTGCATACCCTGCCCCCTAAGTGTGGGCGGGACTAGAGAGTATGGAGAAAGAGCACTCCTATGATTAGGTTACCAGTCCTTGACAGAGTTCATCAAAAGGTCGGTCACCCTGGAGGGCCTGACCTAATCAGGTGAACCCTTTAAGACAAGGTAAAGCACCAGAGAGATTCTCTCCTGTTAGCCTTGAAGGGGCAAACAACCCTGTTGTGAAGAGGCCTGTGTGGCTGAGAACAGCAGGCAGCCTCTAGTAACTGAAGCCTCGGTCTTACAATTCAAGGAACTGAATTCTGCCAACAGCAGTGAGCTTGGAAGAGGACTCTGAGCTTACATGAGGCTGACACTTTGGTTTCAGCCTGGTGAGATCCCAGGGAGAGAGCCAGTTAAGCTGCGCCCAGACTACTGACATGCAGAACTGTGAGAACATAAATGGGTGTTGCTGTAAGCTGCTAAATGTGCGGCAACTTGCTATGTAGCAATAGATAACTAATATACTTAGCACGGTTTTTTAAGAGCACACGGAAGGCCCCTACAGCATGAAGACCATGAGGACTGGAAGAGCTTCCTGCCTTCTGTGTAAGGCCTTGTACCTCGTGAAATGCAAATGTTTCTGGGAGGAGTCACATAGGAAGCCTTTTGGCCATCCAAACCTTAACATAAAGTTCTCCAACTGTCTTCAGAGAGGAGGTTGGATGTGGGGAGAGAGACAGCACAGTGGGGATGGGTAAGAGCACTGAATGGTTGGACGAGGAGAGAATCTGGAAGACAGGATAGAGGGCATTCGTTTTACCTAGGATTGGCCCTGAGAACTGGGATTATACCTGTGAGTCTCCTGGGCAGAAGGGTGTCTCCGCTGGTCTAGCTGTGAAGTGCCCACAAGGAGGGAACAGAGGGGATGGCAGGGGTTGTGGGGAGGCAGTCACGCCAGCTGCAGTCTCCGGTGGGCTGAGCAGAGCAGGAAGTGGGTAGAACAGTTCTTTCTATTGAGGAATGAAATTTGGCCTTTCTCTCTGTAGCCCTTCCCACCCATGGTCCTGGGGGAACATGGAAGGGATGATGCTGTTCTTGCCTTAAGTTGTTTATCTCAGCCAACCTATCTGGATTCTTAATTTAGGGATGACACTCTGTGTAAGTAGAGTGTATGGTTATAAACAGAACATAATTTCAGGGCTTTCCCTAGGTACTGATGGGTGCCCACAATGCTACCATTTGTCCATCCCCTTAACATAGCCCTGTCCCTTTTTTAAATGCAAAAACTCCAGGAAGGGGCATGGTTAAATGTTATTGGTCATTGGCATCTCAGGGGAAATATCTTTCTAGTTCTTTCTGGAAAGGTTCTGACAAAAGAGAAGAGTATCACCTAAGAGGTAGAAAAGATCATAGACAGGGGACAGGGCTGAAAGGCCTTGAAGATACACTGGCTCCTTGTCAGACATTTTCCTGGGTTCAGATCCACCCAGATGAGGCAGCATGCCCTCGCCAGCCACCTCGCCCAGTCCAGCCCTGGCTGTGCAGCTCCCGTTGCTAAGAACACAGGTGACTTGAATTGTAAAGCATGGTAGCTTAGAGGGATTCCCACTCCTCCTCCTACTCCTCCTCCTCCTCCTCCTCCTTCTTCCTCTTCCTCTTCTTCCTCTTCCTCTTCCTCTTCTTTTCAGTAATCCTCACCTGAGGATTTAGAGTAGAAGGAAGGGAGAGGGAAGAGAAAGAGAGGGAAACATCGATGTGGACATCAATTGGTCGCTTCCTGCATGCGCCCAGACTGGGTTGGGATAGAACCTGCAACCCAGGTACGTGCCCTTGACCAGAAATTGAACCCACAACCCTTTAGTCAATGGGCTGACACTCAAACCACTGAGACAAACCAAACCAAGCTGAGCCATCCATTCATCCATCCAACTTTTAATTAAATGAACATTTATTGAGCACCTAGTATGTACCGTCCTTGGGCTGGGTACTGGGAACACAGAGATGATCAGACCCCAATCCCAGCTCTTATGATGGCCCAGGGACTGCCCCAATGCAGTGACATGAATGCTGAGGAAAAGCAGGTAAACAAGAGTAGCAGCAATTTTTTTTTTAGCATTTCTGTTTAATTTTTAAATTAGTTTTAAATGTGCACAAAAGTAGTAAGAACAGTGTAATAAACTGCCTTGCAACCATCACCCAGCTTCAGTCATTTTTATTATTTTGTTTCATCTAACCCTTCCACCTTTTTTGATGGAGTATTTTAATACAAATTCAAGGTATCATGCATTTCACTCATAAGTACTTCCATATGCATCTCTGACAAGAACATTTTAAAATCACCACCAAACCAACAATCTCTTATACAATCAGCAATACCTCTCTCCCTTGCCTTGTGGCCTTACCAAGCCCTGGAATCTGTGCCTACCTCCTACACTACCAGGGGTCTTGCCAAGGACCTGGTATCTCCTGCCATGGCAAGCTAGTTTTCAGACCTGAGCCCCTCAGTGCCCCGCAGTTGTGCATTCTGGGTCCCTGCAAAGTTTAGCCAGGTGACTCCCTACATTGATGGACAGCCACGAGCACCATCTTTTGGAAGGGCTGCAACACCTTCCTAACTGCGCTCTTCCTCCCCTTTGCCCTTGTTGCAGATTGAAATGCTAGAACACAAGTACGGGGGCCACCTGGTATCCCGCCGCGCCGCTTGCACCATCCAAACCGCCTTCCGCCAGTACCAGCTCAGCAAGAACTTTGAGAAGATTCGCAACTCGCTCCTGGAGAGCCGCCTGCCGCGTCGGATCTCCCTGCGCAAGGTGCGTGCGCCCACCGCCGAGAGCCTGGCGGCCGAGAAGGCGCTCATGGAGGGCTACGGCCTCCTGGGGCTGCCGCTGGTGCGCTCGCCCTCCCTGCCGCCCACCCTGGCCGGCACGCTCACCGAGCTGGAGGACTCCTTCACCGAGCAGGTGCAGTCCCTAGCCAAGTCCATTGACGACGCCCTCAGCACCTGGAGCCTCAAAACCATGTGCTCCTTGCAGGAGAGCGGCGCTTACCAGATCCACCAGGCCTTGCACACCGGCGCCGGGCCGCCTGGCCTGGAAGCGGAGATACGGGAGCAGGAGAGCGCCTACCAGGGACCTGGGGAAGAGGCCGCCCAGGCCGCGGGCCTGCCCCAGGGCCACAGCAGCACCCTGATGATGGCTTTCCGGGACGTCACCGTGCAGATCGCCAACCAGAACATCTCCGTCTCCTCCTCCACCGCTTTGTCAGTAGCCAACTGTCTGGGCGCACAGACTTCCCAGGCCCCGGCAGGGCTCGTGGCGGGCCAAGCGGAGCTGGGCGAGGGCCTGGGTCAGGAGGCGCCGGTGGCCCCAGCAGCGGGCCAGGGAGACGCGCCCGCCGAGATCACCAGCGCAGAGGCGGGAGCCGGCGGGGCGGGGCGCGCCAGCACGCCTGGTCCCGAGGATGCGGTGGTGGAGGAGGCCCGGGCCGTGCCGGTAGAGGAGGAAGAGGAGAAGGAGGAGACAGGGAAGGTGGGGAAAGGGGCCGAGGCTGAGACAGACACGGGCGACAACTCGGAGCAGCTGAGCAGCAGCAGCACGTCCACCAAGTCGGCCAAGTCGGGCTCGGAAGTCTCGGCGTCGGCCTCCAAGGAGGCCCTGCAGGCCATGATCCTGAGCCTGCCGCGCTACCACTGCGAGAACCCGGCCAGCTGCAAGTCGCCCACGCTCTCCACCGACACCCTGCGCAAACGCCTCTACCGCATCGGCCTCAACCTCTTCAACATGTAAGTGAGCTCCGGCTCCGAGCTGCAGTGCGTCCCCGGGAGGTCGTGGAGGGAGGGAAGACAGACGAGCAGGGTGTCAGGTGATTGAGTACATCATCCCAGTGTCCTCCCAGGTGGCACTGCTCCTTGAGATACTGTGTACAAATACAGATTTTAGTTTTAATCCTTATTCATTTACTTTAAGAAAAATTAGAAACAAAATAGCATTTCAACCCCATGTTTTCACCACTGATACTGCTTAAGATGAAACTAGCTTTTGAAAAGTGAGAGAATTTAAAAGAAAATACAGTATTAAGTAAATAATAGTACAGGTAATATGAGGATTGAGCAGAAATCATTGAGGGAGGATATGAAGTTAGGGACACTCAGCAGTCCTGTGGGGTTGGTGACGAGGAGAAACAGACCGTGAACAAAGGAGAAAACGAGGACAAGCGAACGAGGGGCTGGGTGGGGGAAAGAGAGGAGACCTACTCTAGAGAGTCCAGATAGAAAGCAGAAGAGGGTGGGACAGGAGGGGAGAGGGAGCAGGAAGAGAGTGTGAAGCCCGCAGAGGTGTAGTACGGAGATGGGAGGAGAACTGGAGACTGTCAGAGCCCACAACAGGGCCCCCACCAGACCGTTTCTTGGGACCAGAATGCATAGAGCTGGTGGCAAGCAGAGGGCACACACGTGGAAATTACAAGTATGTAGGGCACTGATCTCCACCCCCCACTCAGCCCTTGCTTCACAGCCCTGAGCCAGGAAACACAACATCCCTCCTGCCCACATGCATTATTTATTGAGTGCCAGGCGCCATGACCACAAAGATGAGTAATACACATCCCCTGGTCTCAAGAAGCGTGTATCCTGGGGAGAATAGCTGCGTTCCTAAGGCATCTGCAGTCTTTCCGACAGTATTAGAGAGAGCGTTGTTATGCCATTTTACAGAAAAGGGGACAGGCTCACCCTAGTAAGGTGAGTTGCACACGGTGACACTGCTGGTAAGCAGCAGACTCAGGTGAAGACAGATCTGTCTGACTCCCAATCCATCACTTTTCTGTTGTGTCAGGCTGCCGTCCTGGTGGGCACAGCCCCCACCACACATCCACGCATCACTTGGGCAAGCATGCAAATACCGCACAGATGCGTGGTTCCCTCGAGACAGCGGTTCTCAAACTGTCTGTGGTGAAGGACCAGTTTGGGTGTTTTTTTTTAATCCTGACCTGAGAATATTTTTCTATTTTTATTTTTTCAAACAGAGTGGGAGGGAGAGAGCGAGAGAGAAACATTGACATAAAAGAGGCACATCAACTGGTTGCCTCCTGCTTGACCCTGACCTTGGCTGGGGGCGAACCGCAACCGAGGCACATGCCCCTGACCAGAATGGAACATCCGCAGGCCGATGATGCTCTAACCGCTGAGCCCAAACGGCCAGGGCCCAGTTTGGGTTTTTACCCAACACATCGTGGGCCATTATTTTTGTAAAATACAATAAAAAAATGAACTGCTAGAAAAACAATCACATGCTTCATTGTCCTGAAAATGTCAAAGTGCTATAAAAGATTCTAAAAGCTTGCCCTCTATTTCCGTGCTTCTCTCCTGGACCAGTACAGAACAGGTCAGGGAGCAGCATGGATTTGCAGACCACACCGTGAGCACAGCTGCCCTAAGACACAGCACCCACCCCCACCCACACATGGAGACTCGAGCCTGAGAAAGTAAATGCTGGAGAGCAGCATTCTCGTGTATCCACCATCCACAGGGAAGAGGAGGTGTGGGGGAGACTGCACCACTGCTTCACAGTCTCCTTCTCCAGATCCAGGGTGGATACTGCAGATAGACAACAGGATACAGGCAGAAAGGACATTGGGGACCTCTTGGCAGGCCTTGGGGACCTCAGGGTAAGATCCAGTGGGAGTGAGGCAGGAAGAGAGAAGACGCCTCTTCACCTGCCCTGGAATTCACTTTGCTTCACTCCTGTGTGGGGAGGTTCAGGAGACCGAGGCTCGGGTGAAAGGTGTTTCTGACGGTGAACCCCTCTGCAGCGGAAGGAGCCCTGGCATTTCCTTAGAATCCTTTCCAAGGGTCTCCAGGCACTTTTTACAGGTTCCATGGGCTGGAAGAACAGAGGAAGACGTCATGGATGGCGTCGGCTCACTCTCTGCTCCTTCTCCCTGCTCCATCTGCACCCCCAGAAACCCAGACAAGGGCATCCAGTTCCTGATCTCACGTGGCTTCATCCCTGACACCCCCATTGGAGTGGCCCATTTCCTGCTCCAGCGCAAAGGCCTCAGCCGGCAGATGATCGGCGAGTTCCTGGGCAACAACAAGAAGCAGTTCAACCACGACGTGCTGGAGTGAGTGCCCCCCCCCCGCCCTGCCTGCCCAGCATGACCGGAGGAGTTGGGGACCTCAGCTGAGGACTCAGGGAAGAGGGGGACCTCTGAAGTCTCGGCCATTTCCCAGAAATCCTCGCCCCAGTCCTAGCAGCTTCCTGTTGGCCCCAGGGAACAGAATCCCCATGGCCTCAAGCCAGGCGCCGCATTTTGACCAGCCTGTGTCCCCTAGATGGTCTTTTATGTATTGAGCACATTGTGTGCAAGGCACCACTGGCCCGGAAATGGAAAGGGAGACAGAGAGGCCACCCTCTCTGCCCCCTCATGGCGAGAGAATGAGCCTGGAAAGAAGAGGGCTGTCAGTGCGGGGCCACCTCAGCCCGCCCTTCCCCTGCCACCTGTCCACCCCCGGGCCCTCAAAGCATCTGCCTGCTCCCTACCCAGGGACATTTTCATATCAGTGGAAGCAAACATGAGGCAGAAAAAAGATGGGGTTAGAGTGAGGGTTTTTAGATCAGGAAAACACTAAGATTCCGTAAAGATACACTGACCACCCAAATCACAAGAACCAAAGAAAATTGCTTTGAAGTCTAATCGATGGGTGTTGGGGTGAGGGGCTGCCTTTGTCAGTGTGTCCGTGCTGGAGTGAGTGCCCCCACCCAGAGCTGCAGGGCAGAGGTGGCATTACTTGAGGGTGAGGAGCAGGGCCTTGGAACACCCCTGCCCTGGCAAAGAGAGGATGCGGTCCCAGGAAGTCTGCTCTCGGCCCCTGTCACTGCCCAGATGTCCCTTCTCTCTTCCACTAGGACCCTAGGCTCAGATGTTCTTGAAGGTCACCATTCTGTAGGGAGTGACCCCCACTCCCCTCCCCCTTTTTCTTGGGTACATTCGGCAGAAGTGTTTCCCCAGGGGTCCTAGGAGAACCCCTCCTTTTTGTCCTTGCTCCTGGAGTAGCAAGGCCCTGCTCCAGAGGGGCAGAGGGCTCCCAGTGAAGGGTTTGGAAGTGTGGGAGTCACCCAACCTGACTGGCAAGGTTGTCACTGTCCCTGGGGTGGGAGCTCAGAGCCCTGGCTCAGTGCTGTGTCTTCCAGCAGGTCCCTGCCCTCTGGGCCTGTTTCCCTGCCCAGAGAGTGCGGACGTTGGATTATGAGGGGTGGACCAGTGCCCTCTGGAATCCTTGTCACATTCCTAAATTCACTGCTAGAGTGGTTGTCAAACTGAGTCCATTCAGAAGAGTGGGGACTTGGATCCATCTGAGGGACCATGATCATGACCCTTAGTTGGCAGAACCCAGCTCCTGCCTCTGACTGGCGGTGGCGGTGGACAGTTTGCTGTCCCTCTCAGATCCGCCGGTTGAGACGCTCTGAGTGCCTCGCAAAGGCAAGTGAACTGCGGGGTGCGCAGAATCTCCCCGGCGCCTTCTTCTCCTCTGTGGGGGGCTCCTCTCCCCCTTTCCACCGCCTGCTGTGCGGGGCCCTGGGGGAAGAGCAGGTTTTCCAGGAGCCTGTCTTCCCGTTTTCCCTCCATCCAGTTCACCTCTCTGGCTTTTTCATCGGCTTTGTCCTCTTTCCCTTCTGTAGGAGGGTGCGCGGTGGCGCTGTGCGCTGTCGCTTTGTTCTTTGGGGCCGCTCCACACCGCTGGGTGACCCTGCTTTGTCTCTGTGCTCTGAGGACAGGGGTGACTGCTTCACACAGGCCTGACTGCTGTATTCTCTCTCCTCTGCCGCCCCAGTCCCCACGGCGCCTGGCCCTGGATTTTAACCTGCCAGGCTCACGCTGACCTAGCGTACTGGGAACATGCGGTTGTTCGCCAGCCCAGGTCATGCTGAGCAGCACAATGAGAACGAACTGCCGTCCTCCCTGGGAGACTGAGTGTGTGGGCTGGAGACAGACCTGCCGTCGCCTGTGCTGGCAGGGGACTTAGGCTGGGGACTGGGCCAGCAGCTGAGGCAGGTCAGGCCTGGGATGAGGAGGCAGGCTGGTGGGGTAGGAGAGATGCTGGACCTGAGGGAAAGGGCCCGCCTCTGAACCGGGCTCTGGGAGATTTTGGAAGGCACTTCTCCTCTGGGCCTCATTTTCCTCATCTGTAAAGCCAGAGGGTTGGACTGTGTGACCTCAGAGGTCCCTTCCGCTCCCGTGTGTCTGTCACTTCCCCATTTGCCATTGCATTGGCAGCCACTGGCATCATGCAGAATCATTTGCCCTGAACATGGAGGCTATGCGTTGCCCTCCTGCCAGAGCATCCCTCGGGCTCCAGGACAGTGCTGGGCAGTAGAGTTCATGGGAGAACAAGACCACCAGTCATCATTCATTCAGTAAACATTGAGTGCCTACCATGTGTTGGAAATGGGGCTGAGCTGGCTGTCCCGTGTGTGGGGGAGGGAGTGGGGGGTGGGAATAGGAATGGTTCATGGCCTCAGGGAACTTACAGACCCAGGTGCCAGGGAGAGAAGAATGGAGAAGCGTGGAAAGGGAGGCAGGGACACTGAGCACGCTCCAGCAGGCATTGTGGGTTTGGGGAAGACAATACAGAGCTGAGCCCCACTTCTGCCCCAGTGAATGCCTCAGTCCCTCACGCTTCATTCTGCAGCCATGCAGGCCCTGGGCTCCGAGGTCTCGGCCCCCTCCGCCTCTGCACACAGAAAGGAGCCCTCCTCCCCCGAGTCCACAGCTTGCTGACTGCCTGGTGTGTCTCCTGCAAAGTGCCAGCAGAGAGGTGGGGAAGCAGGAAGCGGCAGGCACTGGCAGGGGAGCCAGATGCTGGGGGGGGGTTGGGCATTGCCTGCCCCTCAAGCCACCTGTCTGGGTACCTTTCAGGATCCTCTGCCTCTTCCTTACTCCCACCTCTGAAAACACAGTAACCAAGTCACCTGGTGCCACTTTGCCCAGGCCTGGAAGGCTTCATTGGGATTCCACACGGCTCCCCCGCCCCCGCCTAGTGACATTCAGCAAGTTGCATCCGTTCTGTACAAAGCTGTTTGCTGAATAGAGGACATAAATCACCCATCCCCTTGGAGACTGAGACAACCCAAGCCACAACACTCTCCCAGAAGCCGCCAGACAGGAGGGGGAGAGGCTGACAGGCTCTGGAAGAGGAAAGGGTGGGACAGTCCCAGAGACCCCTCCCAACGCTTACACCTGTGGGGCACCGGAAGAGGGCAGAGCAGAATCTGCCTGGCGCTGACCTGTATCTGAGCATCATAGATGCGGTAACATTTGCCTGCAGAACCAGGCCCTCGGGGCTCCTGGAAGCTGACCTCTCCATCCCTCTGTGTCCTACTTCCATAGAAGACACATTCCAAGAAGGAATGTATTCAAACAGGCTTCATTCAGAGCATAATAGAAGGCCTTCTGAGCTCAAAGGATAGAGTCCATTCGTGTTTACCTGGAGGGAGTGTTTCATTTTTTTTAAGGAGAAACCAATTTAACTTTCCTCATTTGTCGAATGGGGATAATAGTACCTTACCTACCTTGTATGGATTAAATCTCTTAAATGCATGAAAAAGCTTAACTCCACACCTGGCGCTTAGTATGTTCTTTTAAAAAGTGTTAGCTATTTCTATTATTATCTTTCCCACTTGAAAGCACAAGGCATTAGATACACCCCCCCCCCACACACACACACACACCCCCCACTCCCGACACAGGGAAACCGCAGACCCCTCAGGTCTGGTTTGAGATCGAGTCTGCTCCCCAGACAGCAAGAACTTCTGGGCTTCCGGGGAAGGACGGGAGCTCATTGGGGACCATGCTGTCCTCCGAGGAAGCCCTCCCAGTGCTGAGGACACCAGGGCAGTGCCGGCCCGGCGGCGGGAGCCAGACAGCAGCTGGGATTCGGATCCTCCGAGGCCCAAAGCGGCTCCCTGTCAGTTTTCACAGGGCTGGGGAATGTGGCTCCGCTCCATTTCCTTCCGGAAGGGTCGGCTTCAGCAGGGTGGAGGCCAGCGAGTGGAGGGCTGCTCCGAGCGGGCTGCGACCGACGGCGCGTGGCGGGCGTCGGCCTGTCATTTCCCTGTGCACGAGGGCAGTTCTTGGTCGGAGCTGCCAGAAGGAAGTTTCCTGAGTGTGCTTTCTCCCACCGTGTCCACTTCATTCTATATTAGATGGCAGAGTTTGACATTTTAGTCGGATTTCATGACTTCATTTCCATAGAAATGTGTTGGCCAGAGTGTAACAGATTTGTTCTTCTTAGGGGACATTCAGAAATGAAGACAGATTGTCTGTCAAATTCAACAGGCTGGAAGGCGGCCTTTCATTGCTAGGAAGAAATTATTCGAGAACATCCTGCCCGTAGTGCTGGGTATAAACTCAGAAATGGTACCTGATTCCGGAGGAAGTTCACGAGGAAGAGTCCGCTGGGGCCCAGAAAACCCCTGTGTGCAGAGGAGAGTGGAGAGGCCCAGGGCAGACAGGGGTGGAGACTTGGGGTTATGTCCACTGCTCTGAGAACTCAGGGCTGCCACCACCCATGGGAATGGAAGGAAGGGGCCCTCCTAAAAGTGCCATCTTGGGGTTATGGCCTTGACCTCATACCTCTCCAGAGCCCTTCCCCCGCCCCCCAACCATCCACCTCCTAGCCCCCTCCCACACACACGTAGATGAGAGATTCCCCTTAACAGTAAAGAGCTGTGAGCACTTAAAACCCACTTACTCCTGTGGAGAACTTGGGACCCCAAGTGTGGGTTGAACAAGCCAGAGTTGAGACTCCCTTTGGCTTGGTCACATTATCATATAAACTGGGCTTTTACTGGCTGGTGTGGCTCAGTGGCTGAGCGTCGACCCATGCACCAAGAGGTCACCGGTCCGATTCCCGGTCAGGGCACATGCCCAGGTTGTGGGCCAAATCCCCAATGAGGGGCATGCAGGAGGCGGCCAGTCGATGTTCTCTCTCATCAATGTTTCTCTCTCTGTCCCTCTCCCTTCCTCTCTCTCTCTGAAAGCAATTTAAAAAAAATTAAACTGGGCTTTTACACGAAAATGAACTTACCTACCACCCAATTCCTTCCTGGTTACTCAGGCCC